GCAGCCCTTTGGTCTGGGGCCTGGAACTGAGGTTTTCATAGGCCCCACGAGTGCAGGCTCTGCCGGCCTGCAGAGTCGGGGCTACCCGGTCTTCAGAAGCGCTGATGAAGCTTGTAGTGAAGCAGGCACACAGCAGCGCACCTCGTAGGTGGGGCAGGGTGGGTGTTTCTACACTGGCCTGTGAAACGTGAACATTGACACTCAACGGGGTGGTGGAGGTTGTAAGCGTGGTCCTGTCAGGAGGCCAGCCGGGGCCTGGCTCTGCGGAACCTCGGTCTGTCCCTCTGGGCTGACATTGCTCATGTACCGATTCGCCCCTCCGTTTTTCTTTCCCCAGGAGTGTGTGTCCAGATGCAGGTCCAGCTGCTTCCGGGGACCCCTCGGGGTGCCTGAAGGGCCGATGCCCTGCCCAGGGTGAGGCTGACTGGCCTGAGCCTGGGGAATGGCAGCCCCCCTGGAACCTCAGGACCAGGCCCCTGGGGAGGGAGAAGGGCTTCTGATTGTGAAGGTGGAAGATTCCTCTTGGGAGCAGGACTCAGCCCAGCAAGAGGACGGCAAGGATGCCGAGGCCTGCCGCCAGCGCTTCCGGCACTTCTGCTATGGGGACGCAGGGGGGCCCCATGCGGCCTTCAGCCGCCTCTGGGAGCTGTGCTGCCGCTGGCTGCGGCCCGAGCTGCGCACCAAGGAGCAGATCCTGGAGCTGCTGGTGCTGGAGCAGTTCCTGACAGTGCTGCCGGGCGAGGTCCAGGCCCGGGTGCGGGAGCGGCAGCCCGAGAGCGGCGAGGAGGCCGTGGCCCTGGTGGAGGATCTGCAGAAACAGCCCGTGAGAGCCTGGCTGCAGGTGAGGGCGCTTCCGCTTCCAGCGGCACCACCATGGCACCCAGGCTGGAGAGAGGCCGGCTGTCCCCACCGAGCCGATGCCCGGGGGTTTGGGGAACAGTCACTGGAAGCACCTCAGGAGCAGGTCATAGCCAGGTGGCCTTGCTGGAAGGTCACCAGGGCTAGATGGCCCTGGCCCGAGGGGCCTTGCGGGCGGCGCGGGCTGAGCGGGCACATTCCTGGCAGGCAGGGTAGCTCCGAGCGCAGCCTGCCAACGTCCATGTGTTCTGTTCTTGGCCAGGCCCTGGTGACTCAGTGACAGGCGCATGAGAGCAGCAGAGGGGGTATGAGCAGGTAGAGCTGGCCAGTGAACCCCGCTGTCTCCGGGTGGGTGGGCGGGGCTCGAGCCCTTGACACTGGAGGCCTCTGGGAGCTGTTGCCCTGGGCAGGAAGGGCTCCTGACCCCCTGCCAGTGGGCTCCGTGGACTGGGCCTCGGGTCCGCTTCTCGCCGCCTGCTTGGCGGGGGCGTGTCCTTGGGCTCAGCACTGCTGGTGCCGCTTCCTCACCGGGACTTTCTCGCCCTGGCTCTGCTGGCCCCGCCCCAGTGTCCTGAGGGCTGTGTCCTGTCTCCCCCAGGGATTAGACTCTGTCCGCCCCGTCTGGTCTCGGTGCTGACGAGCATGTTGTGGTTCCTGCACAGGACGCGCCCCCAGAGGAGGTGGGACCCGAGGCCGCGGTCCAGGGGTCCCGGGCCGGGGGGCCTCCCCCAAAGGTGGGGCCGCGGAGCTGGCTGCCTGTCTCCTGGGAACAGCACAGCTGTGGCGGTGAGTCAGCCTGCGGGCCGCAGCGGGCTGGGCTGGGCCGCCTCCCCTGGACCTCTCCCCGGGTCCCACAGCAAGGGTGCTCCGGTGTGGGACGCCCAGGCGAGTGTGACTCGGGGCGTGCGTGCGGCCCACCGGCCAGGCCGGCCTCTGAGGCGTCACTCTTCCCCCACAGCGCAGCTCCCTGCTCTCCTTAAAGAGGGGAGTGCCAGAGAGGCCTCGGATGCCGGCCCCGCCTCAGGGCCCCACGTGAGTCCCCCAGAGGCCCGCAGCGCGCTGAGCTCCAGGGTGGGTCTTGCCTCCTCATCAGGGCTCCTCTCTGCTCTCGGCCCTGCTGGGCCCATCCTGTTCCCCGCCCCGTACCTGTGTGGTACCCCTGTGGCCGCCCAGCGCCGCCTGGCTCAGGCGGCCCAGAGCTGACGCTCCCACCTCGCCCCAGGGACCTCTGACCTTCGGAGACATTCCCTTCTATTTCTCCCGGGAAGAATGGGGCTCCCTGGATCCGGCGCAGAGGGATCTCTTCTGGGACATAAAGCGGGAGAACTCCCGGAACGTGGCCCAGGGTGAGTGGCTGGGACCCCGAGGTGCTCGGTTCCCTGGGCTGTAGGCGGCGGCACCTTGGGGGTCCCAGCTGCGGAGGGCGGACCGAGGTGCGCTGCAGGCCCTTCCCAGCCTGCTGGTGCCAGCCCCCCCGCCCCCCACCCGTGCTTCCTGGGGGGTCACGTCTGCACTGCTGGCCGGCCTGTGTGTCACATGAGGCTGCCGCACGCCAGCACCGGGACTAGGGAAGCCTCCGGCCAGGCCAGCGGACACTGGGGCTTTGAGGCCCCTCAGCCGCCGGGAAGAGGTGCTGATGGCGAACACACTCGGGGCCTGCAGGGAGGGGCCACAGGCTGGGCAGGGCCCCCTCGTGCCTGGGGTCAGCTCATTCACACCGCTGGACCCAAAGGGGCAGGCTAGGGTCTGCTGACCCGCCCGACTTGCGCTGGGAGCATAGGAGCTGGGGGCCGTAGTGGCTCCTGGGTTTCTGAGAACGTGGAGCTGCTCAGTTTCAACAACCCGGCTGGGAGTGCGGTTTGGGGTGGGAGCGGGAACCCCGGGGGTTGGCAGGAGTGTGAGCACCTGGCTCCTGCTTTTCCTCTCACCCGCTTTGGTGGAGGACTGAGGCGCGGGCTGCTGAGGCCGAGCCCGGGCGCTTCCTCTGCCCCTTCTGCCGGGGCCCAGCGCCCCTGAAGCCGCCTCTGCTTGCAGGTTCGGGGCTCAGGAGACAAGGCCCGACGAGCCAGCTGGAGGGGTCGGCGCTGC